CCCCAAAACCCCAAAACCCCTTGAAATTAAGATACAAAGAAAAAGGCTATAATCAAATTTAAAATTAAATTAACTTCAATGAGAACGTATCAATCTTACCAATTTTTTCCAAGGAAATCAGGGATTAAATACTTCTCTGTATGGGATCCATTCATACTAGAAAATTATCAGCAGCCAATCCCAATTAAGAAGATTCTTAAAGCTGGTGAGGAATGCAAGTATAAAAAAAGTTTGACCATCTATGCTTAAAAATATGGAATAAAAGAACATCAAAGATACATTAGACTGGCTGAAAATTAGTCTCTAATCTTGTCAATCATTCAAAACGTCACTTATATAAAAAATCTTTAGCTAGATATTGTTAAAAAAGCAGCATCTATAATAGCTAATGAAAGGCTTTAAAGCGAGAGGCTAGACTATGTAAATGATATTGAATGAAAATTATTTAATGATAACAAATTTATCCAATTCCTATTTAAACTTCTGAAGGAAAGGCAAAATAAACTACACATATTTCAGTAGAGACAGATGAAGAAATAAATTCTTATTAAAAATGAAATACAAGTCACAAAGCATTTAATAAAATCTATGCAAGAGTAAATCGAGTATAATCATCAATAAGAACTCATAATGAATGCTAAAATTTAGGATAAAAAGATCTATAAGATAGATATTTGCATGAAAGTTGATGCTTTCTCAGAGAAAGATTTAAAATATTTGATAGAGATGCATCAGAAGGTCAGCTGGTAAAGTGATATTTACCATATCTACAAGCTCTAAGTGCTTTTTAAATAATAAGACTTTGGAAGCACCTATCAACAATATACAGTTGTGGCTTTCAAGCATCCATTATACCTAGAAAATGACAAGATTAATTAGTTCAGAAGTAGAAATAATATCAGTCAACGCAAGAGTGATCTAATAATGAAGGAGATGGTACCTGAATTTTCATTGATAAATTGTATGAATGCTTCAAACATTAATTATATACTCTTGAACTCTTTTCAAAATGTGGTAGAAGGAACTCTCAAAGTAAAGCTGCTTGGGGAAATAGAGCAAGAGGAGGAAAATGATGATTTTTGAGAGTAGGGTCCTTCAACATTTTGTTTTGCATTATGATTAGCTATGTGTATAATATATTAGATTGAAAGTATTAATTTATCAAGTATAATTTACATATCTTAATGATTTCACAAAATATTAAGGCTGGGGTTTTGGGGTTTTGGGGTTTTGGGG